TGATTTTTTGACTGCTGCTTCCATGGGCATTGATTGTTGATCCAAGAAGAATGAAATCCTTGACAACTTCAATTTCTTCTCCATTTATATATAGATATATATCTGACAGAGCAGCAGGATGCAGGTAAGAGGAGGGACACAGGCCCCACCTCCAAGAGGCAGGAAGCGAGGTGGGGATAAACCTGGGACTACAAATAAAGCAACAGGATCCAGATAAGGAGAGAGTGGAGAGGTTTCAAATAGCTAAGGAAGACAAACTTGTCTGTCTTACTGTGGTCACTTGCATGTTGCTGTGAGGCTTGAGGCTGTGCTACTGGTGTTTCAAATGCCAGAAAGGTTGCACATGGTACACAGGTTTCACCACAGCTTATAGACTGAAACAGACTAGGAAGAAGGAAGAGGCCATCTACTTCTCAAAGAATTGACCAGAGAAAACCTCATGAATAGAGAGAAACACTGTGTCCGATACATCACTAGGCAACTTTATGGCTAGCTCAGAAACATTGTCTGATACAGTGCAGGAAGATGAGCCCCTTAAGTTGGAAAGCACTCAAAATATGACTGGCAAAGAGTTGCCTCCTCAGAGTAGAACCAACCTTAATGATAGGGATAAAGTACAGCTTTCAGGACCTCCATTTGCTGATGTGGCACAACTCAAATTGAGGAGAAACAGCTGCAGACACCCATTAATAATTAAAACGTGGAATGTATGAAGTGTGAATCTAGGATAATTGGAAGTTTCATAAATGAAATGGAATGCATAAAGATTGATATCCTAGGCATTAGTGAGCTGAAATGGACCGATTTTGACCATTTTGAATCAGACAACCATATGATCTACTATGACGGGAATGACAAATTGAAGAGGAATGGCATAGCATTCATCATCACAAAGGATGTTTCAAGATCTGTCCTGAAGTACAGTGCTGTCAGTGATAGGATAATATCTATGTGCCTACAAGGAAGACCAGTTAACACTATGGTTATTCAAATTTATGCACCAACCACCAAAGCCAAATATGAGGAAATTGAAGATTTTTATCAACTTCTGCAGTCTGAAATTGACTGAACATGTAATCAAGATGTGCTGATTATCACTGGTGAATGGAATGCAAAAGTTGGAAACAAAAAAGAATCACCGGTAGCTGGAAAATTTGGCCTTGGTGACAGAAATGTTGCGAGAGATCGCATCATAGAACTTTGCAAGACCAATGACTTACTCATCACAAATACTTTTTTTCAACAACACACACGGCAGCTATATATGTGAACTTCACCAGATGGAGTACACAGGAATCACATTGACTACATCTGTGGCAAGAGGCAATGGAAAAGCCAGAACAAGGCCGGGAGCTGACTGCAGAATAGACCATCAACTGCTCATATTTGAGTTCAACTTGAAGTTGAAGACAATTAAAACAAGTCCATGAGAGCCAAAATATGACCTTGAATATATCCCTCCTGAATTTAGAAACCAACGAAAGAATAGATTTAATGCATTGAACACCAATGACTAAAAACCAGAAGACTTGTGGGATGACATCAAGAACATCATCCATGAAGAAAATAAGAGGTCATTAAAAAAACAAGAAAGGAAGAAAAGACTAAAATGGATGTCAGGAGAGACTCTAAAACTTGCCCTTGAGTGGAGAGTAGCTAAAGCAAATGGAAGAAATGACAAGATAAAAGAGCTGAACAGAAGATTTCAAAGAACAGCTCAAGTGGACAAAGCCAGTTACTATGATGAAATGTGCAAAGACCTAGAGTTAGAAAACCAAAAGGGAATAACACGCTCAGCATTTCTCAAGCTGAAAGAACTGAGGAAAAAATGTAAGCTTCAAGTTGCAATATTGAAAGATTCTATGGCAAAATATTGAATGATGGAGGAAGCATCAAAAGAAGATGGAAGGAATACACAGAGTCACTGTACCAAAAAGATGGTTGATGTTCATCCATTTCAGGAGGTGGCATATGATCAAGAACCAGTGGTACTGAAGGAAGAAGTCGAAGCTGCAGTGAAGAAATTGTCGAAGAATGAGACTCCAGGAATTAAAAGAATACTCATTGAGATGTTTCAGCTGTACCTAGAGATTTGGAAGACAGCTACCTGGCCAACTGACTGGAAGAGATCCATATTTTTACCCATTCCAAAGAAGGTGATCCCACAGAATGTGGAAATTATCGAACTGTATCATTAATATTGCATGCAAGTAAAATCTTACTGAAGATAATTCAAAAACGGTTGCAGCAGTATATTGACAGAGAACTTCTAGAAATGCAAGCTGGATTCAGAATAAGAC